TCTGACCACAGGTGCATATATTCAGATGTATCAGATTGTCTTTTTCAAGAAATCTGTGGTTGTGATATCTTCATCCAATAATCATCTGGATGATAAACCCGGTAGGACTTAAAAAGTTCACCAAAAAAGAAAATAGTCTGCTGTATTCATGCTAATGACAAAATCCAGATCGTCAACACCACAGTTTGACAATCATGACGTAAACTCCAACCAATTTTCCCACGAAGACAGCGCTGTCTCTATTTTAATTTGTAGCATAAGGAGGGGATGTGTTCATGATTATAAACCTGCCTTTTTCAATTCAAAACCAGCATGAGGAGACCATCAGAAATACCGGAGCGTGTGAATCATAAAATAGCCTTAAATCAAAGCATCAGTCTTATTGTTCTCCGTCAGTCTCAGAACTTTCTTTGTTTATGCGATGTTCAGGTCGCGTCTCTTTGCTCTGGAGTCTGGCCTAACTTCAGGGGCCGTCTGAGAAAGAGGTGCTTACTTGTGTTTCACTTATTGCTAAACTGATCTGTGTTCTTTTTCAATTTCAGTGTGTTTAAGTGCGTTCCAATGAAGTGACAAAAGTACAGTCAGTGAGAAAGGGAACAGCTCCATTCTAAAAAGGAATGTGTTGTTTAATTTCAAATCACGGCTCTCAATTAGAAAGCTGGAACAAAATAGATCGTAATGAAAGTGCTCTGCGTTATTAAGATTGTCACTGATGTTTTGCATTCACTGAGAATGATCCATTCAGCAACTTGACCTTAACTGTAATGTATCTGTACATTATCGCAAGACCTCCCTTTTGTCTATAAGTGTTTTAATGTGTCTGTAATTAAAGTTAACTGCCAGGGCCATTTTTGCAGAGCTGGTTTGAAGACCATAATGCGTTCAAAGCCACCAGCTCAACCGCAATGAAACAATTAGGATCACTGAGCCGAACTGCTGGTCCCTAATGGCATTCTCCTCCTAGGCATGAGCAATCAAGATTTATCCAAGGCATGACCAGCGGAGCCAGAGGAGACCCTATGTCAACTCGTCTAAGCTGGAATCTGTAAAGCCGCTCACATTTACTGATCTTAAGTCTGTGTCGCTCAAGAAAAAAGATCGTAGCCATTTGCTTTCTGTGCTGACCCTGGATCAGGACCCCCACTCTGTTCGACTATGAAGTTTGGCCACAGATTCCAACAGCAGTGTAAGCCAAAACCACAAGAGAATAAGACTGACTCATTTTTTTTCAAAAAAGGAGAAAACGATTGACAAATGTGGCCACATCGTTCAAAAATAAATAAATATATTTTCATCATTAGAGAGGCACTGTTTTTGCATTGTGACCTTAATATACAGTTCTTAAAACGGTAAATATACAAATATGTATCAGCACAAGTTTATTAAGAACCATTTCTTCCACAAAAAGTATATTTTTTATTATGTTGTTTAATTAATTGATTGAAAATACTCTTTCATAAAATAATGTAAATCCATGTAGAGCTTTTTGTTACTTAGGCAAATCTAATAACATCTGAAGTAGAATCCTGTTGGGGAAGGGAAGCTCCCACATCCTTCTTAAGTAGTTCAGGGGGGAAAAAGACAAATATGCATCGAACAAATTGTTTTCTGGTGTGACAGAACATCTTTTCCCCCTCAGACGACTGACTTCCAACATCTGAGACTTGTTAGGACTGTAACACAGAACAACAAGGCTGTGGGGCGAGGCAATGAAGGGATCAGGCAGTAATTGATCAGCAATTGATAATGAGCTCAATGATTTGTGCTTACTATGACAACTGAGCAATGATTAAACCGTTTGAACATTTGAGTGCAATAAAAGGCGGGTCAGAGACATAATCTGTTTACTTGTGTGTGTATGTGTGTTGTGTGTTGTCACCCCAAATGAAAGCCACATATCCACTGACCAGATGTTTTCCTCTATCTCTTTGCAATTGCATGTCTCTTCTTCCCACTCCTTTACTCTTCCTTTGAGAGTTTCCATTATCATTGCTTTACAAGGCTCTCATTCATATAGTTGGTGTTCTGCCTTTAAACCTTATATTATACACAAAGTTAAACCTTCTAAAATAAACACTATCCTCAAGAACCCACATTTCAAATATGACTAATATTTTCAATCTTTAGTCGTCTGTAAAACAAAAAATCTCAACTATTCAATTCATCTTTTCGTCGAATATCCAAATAGCCTGTCTTTTGACAATTTAACAGTTTTTATTTTAAGATTTTTTTGGGGCCTAATATCAACGTAAGCTAAGCTCTCCTTCAGAAATAAATCTTATCGAATTATGTCTTTAAAAAATAAAATAAAATGCATGGCAGGCCATTACAACAGTTTTATAATATTGAATATATCTAATACAAATATCTAATAATTCTTACAGCAACATGAAGAACATTGTAAAGTGCTGTCTGTGGTGCTGAATTTTGTTTAGAGGTGTTAACATGTAAGATGAACCTGGACAAGTGGAACATACTTTATAGTGAATATATGGCTTCTACAGCGCTTGTTTGCCAACCCAAAGACATTCAGTCAACTAACACGTAAGAAAGAAATGCTAGCGTTTGAAAGCTGGAACTAGAATATGTTTGGTAAAGGTAAACATGATCGACTACATTGTTGGCATCCAACAGCTGTATACCTCAGTCAGAGTCACACACCTTAAAAGGGAAGGCAGTGCAAGGGGGTCGTTCATTGTAGAAATTGCTGTGTTGTTGGTGCACACCCATAATATATTCTTTGGAAATTCCTGAAAAATTGCCTGACAGATTGACACTTAGGGACTAAATGAAATTAGAAATACAGTAGAATGTGGTTATTCAAATCAGCTGCATACTCAGTTATTGCTTGGAACCACTGACTCCTGTGTCAGAGGTTCCAAGTAATAACTGAGTAAACTTATGAGAGAAGAGGCGGAGAAGAGAGGGAGATATGGCGGTTGTCTGACAATGCGAAAAGGAAATTAAACAACGCTGAAACCAGACAGCAGACCTAGATTCTTGAAAGGTGACACACGTAAGGCACAACTTCTTTCATCCAAACACTGGGAGATGTTTATCTAAAGATTAAGCTCCAAGTAAAGAAATCAATTGACAGTATATCTGTCAAAATAGCTGTGGGCTGCTTAGCTCAGAACCGCTCTGTGCCTCTTCACAGAGAAGACATGTTTGGCCTTTACCCGTAATAGGCTATGCGTCATGCAGGGTAGAAAATGTATATGTTTTTACAGCTGACACTTCAGGAGAGTATTTTTCACCAATATTAGAAGAAATCAGGAAAATTAGTCAGAGACACTTCATTGGACAGGACAGTATTTGCTCTCTGAGGGAGCAACAAGGACTCTGCTGGTGGGGGCAGTTATAAAGTTAGGTGTCAGGTTAATAATGGCCGCGTTGTACACCTGCATGAATATGATTGGATATCACAGGTCAGCTGGTAGCCGCAGAGCTGTGAATGAAGCAGACATTGTGAAGGATGAATGAAGCAGCCGAGGCCGCTAGAATAGTGGAAAGACTTCTGTGACTGCCAGAAACAATGCTACGCTTCATTTTTTATTCAAAATTGAATTGTGGACTTAAAAATAGTTTGTCTGTCAACTTTTAAACTTTCACAATAATGAATACAAAACAATTATACATATGTACACTAATAAATACTCTTTTGGTACAAACTAAAAAAGGTTCTACCTAAACGCGGTTACGTTCACAGTCTTATTTCAAGGAAATAATGCATATTTTAGACATAAAGTATGTAACAATTTAGAGCTGCCATAAGTAAAACAAATCACATTTTCAAATTAACATTAAGAACAAATTCAAACAACCTCCGGTCCTAATCGGGAGGACAGAAATATTTGAAAGATGGATTGAAAAGCTCAGCAAAAAGGAGAAAGAAATTAAGAATGGATTTATTTCAGACCTGCTCTGCTCAACTGGTGGGGGAGGAGACAGAGAAAAGAGGGAGAGGGAGGGAAAGAGAAAACGGGGTTGGAAGACCCCCCCCTTACACACACACACACACACACACACAAACACACATGTGCAGTCACACATGCACGCACACATAAATGCATCCAGCTCTTCAAAGCCAAGTGGTTTCATAGACATCCAATTACACTAAGAGATGACATGTGGGGAAAGGCAGCAGATAAATAAGGTGAAAGGAAACACAAGATTCGGTCACCTCAGAGAAACTCCAGATAACCAGAGAGCGCACGGCTGATAGAGATAGGAGGGAGGGAGAGGCAAAGGAAAGAGGGAGGGGGCCAAAGGAGAGGGAGCCGCACACTGGAGGAAAGAAGAGAGGCAACGCACTGCTCCAGCGCTCAGACTCTGAGAGGACAGAGGAGAGATACGGGAGCTCACTGACAAGACGCACAGAGAGGGGAGAAAGACTAGCTCCCGGGCTCAGTTACACACTCCAGTAACTTCAAACCAGCTCCGACAAAGAGAGAGAAGAGGAGAAGTCCAGTCTGGATTCGGTCACTTTTTTTGGTCGGCCTGCCTTGCATGGATTTCTTGGGACATTTTATGAGAAGCAGCATTAATCTTTTTTTTGTTTTTTACTTCCAGATTTTATTTATTAATTTTGTACTGAGCAGTTTGTCATCTTTTATCCAGACCTCCTCCACCTCCCTGCACTGGAGGAGATCAATGGTTTGGGACATGTGTGCGGAGCAGATTTCAGCAGTGTATATGAATGGGTTGTGTTTGTGTCTTTAGATATCAGAGTGTAGGTGTACTTTCAAACTTTTAAAAAGGGATTTTAAGTGAGTGAGTAACCAGGAGCAGAGAGCATTAGTCGTTGGAGGAGAAGGAGGAGTGTGGTGAGAGGTCTTTGAGGCGAACCCCAAGTTGTTCCCGTGGCGAGGTGATCTGAGTTATGGATGTTGACGCATTCCTGCGGCGCTTCTGAGGAATAAACAGCAACGGGGACTACAGCAGAGCCAGCCACAAAGCTGAAGGCCGCATCACCATCTCCAATAATTTTACCGATAAAGCCACATCACGTCTACCGCAGTCATTCTACCGGTTTTTAAACCTACAGTCCCAGTGAGGTTGGGGGTCCCGGGGCAGAGGAGGTGTAGGCGGTCGGTCAGGGGGAGTTTCTCCCACTCTCGCTCCCTTTCCCTGCACCCAGCTCAGCATGCCCCAGCCCCTGAGCACCTCCACAGCTCTCCCAGCTCCACTACCATGTGTAGATGGACAGTGACACAAGGTGCACCGCACGCCTGGTCCTCCACCTGCCCCCGCTACAGACCCCCCTCTCTCATCCTCTCCTTCACCTTCCTCCTCCTGCTTCTCCTGCTCGGAACCTCTTCCTCCGCACCCCTGTCCGCTTCATCACCAGACTCTGAGAAGCACCACAATGCAGCGAGAGGGGCTCCTCCTCACATCTTCATCTCACATGCGCCAACTTCCTCGTCACCCTCACCGCTGCACGCATCCTCTGCGAGGTTGCCCCGGGCGACCAATGTGTCATCGTCCTCCGCGACAGTTATCGGGCGCCACGTGCGGAGCAGCTACAACCATCTTCAAGGGGACGTGCGCAGAAGGAAACTGTTCTCCTTCCAGAAATTCTTCCTCCGCATTGATAGAAAAGGAAAAGTTAATGGCACCAAAAGTGAGGACGACCCATACAGTAAGTCGACTTTGTTACATTTCTGAATCTGTTTCAACGGTTTCTTATATTTTAAGTATTATTATTTATGTATTTTGAGACATTTCATTTATTCAGAGACTTTTTAGTTGCACCAAAAATTGACAGAGGCGCTCAAAGAGAAGTTCACATGACGTTTTCTGTTGAACATTTGTATGCCCACATGTAAGAGAACACGAGAGCAAATGATGGACTGGTTTCTTCCCACTGAGTCTCGTGTGTTTATCTGCCAAGAGAGATGATTCTGGTTTTCCACCCTGGGCAACCAAGCACATTAAGACAGGTGACTGGGCAAATGAACAAATAACAGAGCTGCGTGCTGTTCAGCCTTTTCCCCATGTGCAGAGGCGGAGTACAGAGAGTCATGAAAAAGAGGGAGCATGACAGTGGTGGAGAAGAGGGAAAAAAACTAAATGAGAAAGCCAAGAAGATAAAAAAGAGAAATGATCCACTGGAACCAATTAGAAATCGCCCAGAGAAAGTTCTTTTTCTTTGAGGAAATATCTAAAACACAGCTATTATCAGAAACCCTGGGGAGAATGAAAAGTCCATCTACTCCGTAGTGCTATTGTGCTGCAGCCATAATAGTGGTGGGAATATGCTAAGTGTGAGGTTTTATGTAAAGTAATAACCATGCAATTCCTGATCCTTTTACCGGTTGTGCATTTTGAAAGTTAAATATGATTTTAACCTTTATTTATCCTGAGAAGGGTCATTCAGCACTTATGGTCTTTAGTCAGCACCAATCACTCTCACATTCACACAGTCAAACGCTTCACAGCAGATCAAAGTCCTTCACTGTGGGGCACTGAGAATCTCTACTGGCACCAAGTTTTAAGGCACAATGTGATGTAGTGTAGCATTTCAGTAAGGACACAGTATGATCGCACGTTGAATGCAGAGATGTGGAACATGTTGTGAGATAATAGGACCGAAGGTGCATGTTAAGAATGTGCATTTGAATACAACTGAGGTATGCTTTGGTTTTTGCAGTAACTTAAATACCGAAACACCACAATAGCAACAAAGCATCTTATCTTTTCACCAGCAAATATAAACGCTTTAAAGACTTGCAAGAGTCATCATTATCGTTTATGACTGATCCAGAACAGAAAATCAGCTGTTATCATTCTGCAGTCCACAACTTTATCTTCTAGTTAAACACATCTGGAAGTTCTCCAGGACTGCCACAGGTTTCTGGTCTGTGCGCAGCTCGGCCTGAGGGCACATTGACAGTAGTTGTTGAGGGAGAACAGAACATTACTCGCACATTTACCTGTCCAGAGTTTCCTTGCCAGTTTACTGAATTAGATGGGCGACGTCCAAATCACGGGCTTATTTCTTTAAGAGTATAAAACAGTCTGCATGACGTCTGCTGTATGTGTTTGAGTCTGTCACAGCATGTCAAGTGTGGGAATGTAATATCTATAAATGGATCTTTATCTTTTGCCCATTTTTATAAACATGTAATAGGTTTGTATGCATCTCTGTGGGTCTGTACAAGCCTCTCCTGCTAAGAGCACACACACAAACCCCCACACACACACACAAAAACGCACGCACACACACGAGCACAGAGAGGCCAGTCTTGCACATGGCCTCCATATGGCAAAGCCCACTTTTATTAGGGCCAGGGCCAGTGTCGATATGTGTGAGTCGATGTGTGTGTGTGTGTGTGTGTGTGTGTGTGTGTGTGTGTGTGTGTGTGTGTGTGTGTGCCACTCAGACACCAAGGCTCTGCCAGACATGGCTGAAGGAATTTCAATTAGCGTCTCTTCCTCCCTCCCCTTGCCTGCAGTCCTATCTGACACACACATGTGCTCACACTCTTACACTTTTACACACATGCACATAAAGAGCTCAACCATTAGAGTGCAACGTGTCACTAACCATAATGGCATCAGGTCATGCCATTAGAAGCACAATCCATCAATTTCAACAGCTCTTGCCAGTTGATTGTGGCGTGAAGTAGGTGAGAACATTTCAGAGGAAAGGGCAAATCTTAAGAAGCAGGACTTGGCCGTGAAAGCAAAACCTTTCGGGTCATATTTTGTCTTGTCAGTATATCAGCACGTTGTATCGACCTGAAAGCAAGTGCAGATGTTTAACATGTTTCAGATTAAAGGAAGATGGGCCAACATTTTGTGACAAACTGGAGATTTTCAGCTTTGATGAAATAAAGTTGGACACCACGATATCTGTTTGGGTCCCTGTGCATTGACAGTATTTGCATGTGTGCAAAAGCTTGCATGTAGAGCATTTCATGCTTATGTGCAACCTCCTGTTATTTTGCATGTGCTCTACAACCTGCAGAGAACAAATTGTACCCTTCAAACTAAACCAAACAGAACATAATTGAATTGTCCTCTCCTAACTAAGAACACAAATGTAGTATTTGCCATACAAGACATGTCATCCTTTTCAGAAGTTTCAATATACTTGTTGCTTATGTTTAATGCTACAGATTACAACATTGTTCATGGTTTGCTATTCCCCAACACTAGAAGCAAATCAATTGCTTGCACACAGACTTTTGGACAAATGTGGTCTTTGGTGCAAGTTTTCTTGCCTTTATGTGCTCATTAAAAACACATGGCTACTTTGAGATGATTCAAAAATCCTCTAGATACAAAGTACTAAATACCGACATAACACAGTGTACTAAAATGTCTCCAATGTGTCCGAGCAAACTCAGGTGCTGCACATCTATAGGACGATCCAAGATGTTATTTGTCACAAATGGACTTCCACTTTATGAGAACATCAAATTGAAAGCTATTGAGGGGGCAGTTAGTGTTGTTATCATGCTCTAGTAGTCTGGTAATGTTCAGGAGGTCAGATTGCAAATGAGTGTCATTAGATGGTGTCAGAGGTGATGAAGACGTTTCAGCTCCAGCTCCGGGGTCGAGCCTCTCCTCCACGGCCGGGCCTTTCTAATCATCTTGTCAGAGCTGAGGGCAGTACATCACTCTGGGCTTTTACGACCTGTATTGTGAATGTGTGCTCACTGGTGCAAATCACAGTCATGTGACCAACGCTCATCTGTCCATCTCACCTCATAAGGGTCTTCAAAATAAGGCGCTCTAAGTGGGAATGTAGAAATCCCGTCTGGGCGTCATGTGATTAGCATTGATCCTGCCACTGACCATAAGCAACAAAACTGTGCTTGTTTACTTGCCTTGATGTCGTGCATGGACTGTCACGACTTGTTTACAAACACACGAATAAAGCAGTGAAACAAATGGACATGTGTTCACAGTTGGACCACAGACTTGTGGTCATGCTTAGCTCAATTAGTATTGAATGGTGCCAACTTGACCACATTCGGAGCTTTGATTCTTATTGTGGCCACCGGGATTGTAAAAGCTGCCACACATCCTTATTGTTAACATTAATCACCGTAGAGACATGTTACCCACTGACACAAATGAAACCAAGGCATCCAGATTTATGGAGAGTCTAATACACTGGACGTTATTCTGATTTAGAGCGGGCTTTCCATGTCCAAGCTAATTACACAGGTCCGCCCCTTCTGGTTTGACCTCTACCTATTGACCCAAGTCAGGAAGCGTTGTTAATGCAAAGGTCAGCGCTACACGTAGTGCATCACTTTTAGCTGTTCTGTTACTCTGTCATTGTTAGTTATGTGGTGTGGCACATTTCACATTCTGTCTTTAAGACTAAAAATCATTTGCATTTCCGAATAAATCTTTAGAACCAAATTCTGGTGGAGGACACTAATACTCTTTTTCAACTGTTTCCTTAATAATAATTGAAGACACATCAAGAAATGCGTGTGTCAATTGCTTCAAAAATGACTAACTAAGGCATTACATTTCAAACACAACACTTTATTTGATTTTCCACTTGTTTTAAAAATTGTTCCTAAGATTCCTGTGAGATGGAGATTTTATATTCCATATAATTGATGTTTGCAAAAGCAATATGCCCCAAGAAGTGTCGCAATCAGTCTACTTCTAATTTATGTGGATCGTAAAACTGTTTCAGGAACATTTGAACCAGGTTCTAAAATAACACAACTGCTTCTTTATCTTTCTACTCTGCATCCATAAAACTCCAATGACTCAGCAAGGATAACAACAAACCTCATTCTTCCCGGACATCTTGAAATAAGTCATGCCTTTTTTTTCAGTTTCTGTTTGTCTTCATTTCGCTGCCTTACTCGTGGGAAAAGGTAACAGTGTGGCACATAAAAGAGAGTTATGAGGAGGTTTTGGTTGCACCAGAGGTTAGTGTCAGTGTTGCCTTTCTTTCAAAGCGACTTTGACATCTTCATTGACTTTTCCAACAGCTGTAAAATAAAGCTGTGCGCAAACATATGCGCACAAGCATTTTCAGAAAATACTGAACCTATCAACAATTACTCCTAAAGCTGGCAGAGCCAAGTTTCACATCAACAATTGCATTCAGCTGTACTCTGAATACTTACAATAAACATATACTCCCTTCACACTCCCTCTGATCCTCCCTCAAACTGCGCCAACATCCATTTAGCTGATGGCTGAAACAAATAGCATATCCTGATTGGTTGTAAACAACAAGCATGGAAAACCATTTAAGGTAACGACTGAAATTAGTCTTTACTTCATCACCTTATAACATCTTAGAGGCTAAATGCTGCTGGTATACGCACAAATCATACATTTAATTCCACAAGTAGCCTTTTTGTAAAGTTTTGTTAATATCGGAAATTCAGCCAGAGTCTGGATCAAATCATGTCCGTTCTGATTAATGTCTCCTTTTACTGGAATCTACGGAGCTGACAATGTCCTGCTCAAACATTACATAATATTTTTTAGGATCTTACATAAGAGCAATGTTATTCTACTATAATGAAACCAAGCCAAATAATTGGTAAGGTTGTTGTAGACTTTGGGCAACGACAGATTGACCATTTACTTGTATTTACTGGTACATCATCTTTGACATCTTGAGGATGAAATCTCTCGTCTGATGACTCG